TTGTGACGGCAGAGCTGACTTCCGTGCGTGTAAACGCGCCTTCAGTATAGCTGACATCCTGACGACATGCTGTAACCATGTCCGAGGCACTCTCAGTGTTTAGATCTTCTGACGTCGAGTCTGCCGCCGCCGACTGGATAATGCAGGCTTCCGGTGTACCCATCGCTGAGTTCACCACGGCTGCAGAACTTGGTCCTATTATTCCGTACTTGGCTCGGTTGTCAGCAACGGGTTCAACGTCACATAGGGCTTGTTCCGAGCGTCTTCAAGGCCTCCTGCCGTTATAGCTGAGTCTTCAGTCGCCGACGCGTCTTCCGTGGCCCTTACTTCACTTGTTCCTTCGACCGCTGAGTTCGTGTTGACGTCAGAAATGGCGCCATCGTCTTCAAACTTGGACAGCTGATAGGAGACATCTTGGCCATCGTGTAGCACCGACGTATGGTCCGCTCGGACATCTTCCAGCTTGAACGCTGAGTTTATAGCCGGGTCACCCCTTGTCACCCCTGAAGTCGATATGACGTCTGCGTTACCGCGACGCTTCTCGTAGTCGCCGGCTTCAGTGTCGGCTTCGATCCTTCTCCAGCGTTCGGCGCATGTTAACTCTGGTCCACTCTCCACTGGAGATCGTCTTTCCACCGCCGTCGGAGTTGGGTATTTTCGTCTTTCCACAGCTGGCGGCTGGTGTGACAACCAGTCCTCGTACAGTCGTCGTTCTTTCTGCAGCAAATCTTCGTCCATCGCTGACTCAAATGCCAATATCTGCCAGTCACGGTACTTCGCCGAGTTCACGCGGACATATCCCTCGTTGGCCAGCACTCCGTGTGGTTGCCATTTTATCACATAAAAGTGAGGTGGGCACCAGACTGACGTCTGTCGTACGTTCGTAATCAGGACATGGGTTGGTCTTCCTCGGCGATTAAAAACAACCGTTGGAATCCAACCCTTCGTCCGTCGCACGCATAGGTCATGCGTCGACTCACTGGGTTGTCGCCTGGGTAATTTGAACTCAGCGGTCATTCGACTTTCGATCGTCAACCCGTCTGGTGGCCCGCATGGTACATTTGGTCCGAACTCGGTCTTGGTCGGTGCATTACTTGACCGGATGAGTGGTATCACCATCGCATCGGGTAGCTTGACCGCCGAGCTGTACAGATCCAGACGTATTCCAGCTGGGATCATAAAGTCGGTGCCGAGAATCAAATCGACTCCGGCATGATGAGGCATTATCCATACTTCAAACTCGTATGCCACTTCCCAGCCGAGTGTCACCTTCACCACTGCTCTTGACGTTGTCACCATCCTGTCTTTACTTATTCCTTGTATGTCAATCCGCTTATCTCGGCTGGCCACTCTCTTGAGACGCAGTTTCCTCGCGAAGTACTCACTGATCGCCGAGACATTTGCTCCGGTATCCAATAATATCTTGGTCCTTCGGTCGTTCACTGCACCCAATACGAGGGCTCTCATTCTAACTCGGCGATCAAACGTCTGTGCTGACCACCATCCCAGCCGCTCTCCCGGAAGCAGCTTCATTATCCTGGTACGATGCACAGCCTGGTCTGACTGCCGAGTTACACTTGCAATCGCTCGGTTGTTATCATCTAACTCACCGAGCTCACGTTCAATTCCGTCGATTTCACACATCCAATTGCCATCCTCGCTTCTTCCCTCGGGCCGTCCTGCTTCGCCTACGAAGGCAAACAAGAAGTTCGCCTCAACTGCAGGTTCAGCTGACTGTGGCAGCCCGGCATATTCCAACCCAGTCAGTGTTGGCGGGCCGCCGAGTTTAAATCACTCGGCGCGTAAAGGTTTTGCAGGTCTTCTGGCACTTGCGACTTGTCGACAGAGTTCTTCACGAACGCAGCCAGCTTCTCATATTGGCGGAACAGCTCACACTGGCCGCCTTCATGGACTTGTCTGCAGAATTTGCAGCGTCGTCGACAGTAGTGAGCCGAGTGCCCCATTCTTCCACAAGCTGCACAAGGTCCTCGTTGGGTGTTGTCGCGTGATCCATCTCCACGATTCGACTGTTCTCGCTGGTTGTACGGTCGCGGAGGTCGGTTCGCTGAGTTTCCCCAGCTTCGGTTCGAGCCTTTCTGGTCTCCCGCCGAGTTCTCTCGGCGGTCCGGTGTATTTCCTTTATCATTGGAAACGCCGGCGTCAATGTAGTCGTCGTCTTCCGCTGAGTCGTGTCCTCCGGACTGGTCCTCATCATCCCATTCGTCTTCGGAGTTGTACGGACTCGGCGGGTTCTGATCGATGAGTTCCTCTCCGTCGGAGTCAGCGTCAACGACAGTGACTCGGCGGGTCGCGGTTTTCTTCCTTGCGACTGCGCTTCTCATCTCGGCGGCTCTGATCCTTCCGCTTGTCATCTCGGCTTTCTTGCGGTCACGAAGACGGTCGCCGTTGCCTCGTAACCCTTCTCCCCGAGCATCCGACAAATGAATTATCTGTTCCCACCCTTTACTGAATGAGTGTCAAACTGGCAAGGGGAC